CTCCTGAAGGCCAGGACACCATGACGCACAACTCACTGCGCCTGGCACACGTCTGGCTGGACGAGTACAAGGTGGGCATGCCCCCCCCCCCCGCCGCCGCCCAGAGGCACAGGCTGGCACTGCTGGGAGCTCCTGTCGGTTGCTTTTCCTTTTGCTCTGAATGTCTGCCCACTGACCTTCACGTTCACATGGCTGCTAGGAAATCGCTCTGGGCTGGCTTGTGCGCAGGTGCCGAGTGGGCACAGGCTGTGCCAGGCTGTAGGGGCCGGGGCAATGCTGTGGGTGCGAGGGAGGCACGGGGGGCGCTGCAGAGTGACATTTGTCAGCAGTTGGAGCAAACTGCTAAGTTAGTGGACCGGTACTATCCTTTTTAAATTTTTTGGTAAGTATGTTTTTACAGGTGTGAGTATTTTTGCATTTTTTTGCGTAATGAGCACATTCTGCATGTACAGAACAAATCTTAACCCTTTTGTCATCCACCTGGCTAGTTTTTTCCAGTGACTAACATTATAAAAATCTCGAGCGTGAGGTGAAGATATATTCAAAATACATGTCAGGGGCCGGGGAGATGGCTCAGTGGAATAAGCACTTCCCCGGCAAGCTTTGCAAGGACCTGAGTTCAGTCCCTGGTTCCGCAAAACAAAAAAATTGCAGGACAGGTCAGATACCAATGCAGAAGGATAAAAATGGCGGTGATATTTTTATTTCCTGTTATAATTGCACTTTAAAAAAAATCAGTGAGTTTCAGTGTAAAATGAGAAGCCAGGTGAGACGCTGCTGCTGCTGCTGCTGCTGCTGCTGCTGCTGTTTCCAGCCGCGTGGTTTCTGGAGGCTGCACTTGCACTTGCTCGGCCACAGCAACAGAGCGGCCATCCGTGGCAGCCAGGCTGAGGCGTTATTCCGCACATGTCACTGTGGCAAACTTACTTTAAAAATGAGCTTGCTGCTGCTACCCTGATGAATAAACACTGCTAAATTTCTCAGTTTTAGTTTGTGGCGTGGCACAGTCCTTAGTGCAGGCTGTGGGGCGCAGTCCAAGGAGCGCAGAGTGCGGCCTGGTGCACCGCCTGGTTCCCCAGTGCTGAGATGTGCAGTGTACACACTTCGCTCACTCACTTTTTTTTTTTTCTGAGGAACCGGGGATTGAGCTCAGGCCCTTGCGCTTGCCAGAGAGGCACTTATTCTACTGAGCCATCTCCCTGGCCCTCACTTCGTTCTTTCTGAAACTCGGATGTGCTGTGCAGCGTAAGCCGTCCTATTCTGTGCCAGTAACAGACTTCAGTGTGTGAAAATCTTCCACTGGTACTTTCTGGCATAACCAAGAAAATGTTGGAATTATGAAAAATCCTTTGGTTTATAACCCACTATTTTCAGTTGTCCTCTAATACTCAAACATGATTGCATAATAATTCACTCTGATCCTTCTAAAATCCAGGAACAGTATTTTTCCTTAAGACCTGATCTCAAGACCAAGAGCTACGGAAACATCAGCGAGCGTGTGGAGTTGCGGAAGAAGCTGGGCTGCCAGTCGTTCAAATGGTACCTGGATAACGTTTACCCAGAGATGCAGGTCCACGGGCCCAACGCCAAGGCCCAGCAGCCTGTCTTCGTGAACAGGGGCCCCAAGCGCCCCCGAGTCCTGCAGCGTGGGCGGGTGAGCAGCAGCCTTCACCAAGCGCCAGCGTTGGAGCTGTGCTGAGAAGCTCCGGGGCGTAGCCCAAGTCTAGACTTCACTGCACCTTAGGGGACCCTCTCCTCAGATGTAGGTCACAGGTGTTAATACTTTTCCTGAGGGTCCTTTGCTGGTTGGCCTTAGAAAAGAAAGTGTGGCCACCTGCATGGGCGCATTAGGTGTCCTGAGCGGCGCCCTCTCGAGGTGCGACTGGCCTCTGGCTTACTCTGCGTGCCTCCAGATCGGCATGGATGCCCGCTAATGCCTGCTGCCGTTGGCACCTTTTGCTTCCTCATCTCCTTGATTTCATTTTAGGATCTGCAAGGTGGGATGATGATTTCTCTCATCCCTTACATTGTAGTAATGAATTTGTGGGTTTCGCTAGAACTTCTAGTCAACACTGCCAGCATCTGTCAGAACTGCCAGGATGCTGACACCGAGAATGCTCATGTGTGTGAGCTCCCCGTGCACCAGGGGCCCTCTGACCTCGGGCTGCCTGGTGCAGAGTAGTCAAGAGCTCCCTCTTTTACAGCTCTATCACTTCCAGACTGACAAGTGTCTGGTGGCTCAGGGCCGCCCGAGCCAGAAGGGGGGCCTCGTGGTGCTCAAGGCCTGCGACTATGGAG